ATTCCCACGCGCTGCTACCCTCCCCTGTGAGCTTGGACCTAAACCAGTCTTCCTGCTCTGAAATATCCAGCGTAAAAATACACACTTTCTCCGACAACCTGATTCTATTTCTAGCTCATGTTAATTTGTCGGATAATGTCGGCATTTTCCGCTGGTTACGGAACTCAAAACACAACCGAGGAGGCATTTAGCTCACACTTAACCTGTTCATGTTACTGTTTTATGGCAACTGATCTGTAAACGCATAGTGGAGTGGCATTTACGAGTCAAAACACGCTAAGTAGAGTGCTGTACAGTATAATTCAACATCGCAACGAGGGGTTATTTTCCTTAATAAAAAACATGAAAATCACGACTACTAAAACTTAATCAAAGGCTATATATCATATAATTATCAACTTGACGTATCCATAAACATATATAAAACAAAGAAGTCTGTCTGTTTATATATATATATATATATATATATATATATATATATATATATATATATATATATATATATATATATATATATATATATTTCATGTAGATCCACAAAGAAAACGTGGATAAGATAAATCTTGATAAAATCACACGGGAAAAGGGAAACAACAGAGCACCTTAGCTTTCGTCTTTATTCAAGACATCTTCAGAGGCACCTGGATTACATGGACATATATATATATATATATATATATATATATATATATATATATATATATATATATATATATATATATATATATATATATATATAAAACGCCATAGTGAGTTTCCCTTCTCACCTCCATCCTTAGTGCGAGATCTCCTACATAGCCTACGTTACAAGGTTCTCTCGATAAAACAACACTTTTAATAATCCGTATCAGGATATCCAGCAGGCTACAAGTGCAGGATAAACAGACACGTTATGGTTACGATGGCATTAGTTTCCCTCAGGAGGAGAGCAAAGAATTACAAATACTTTCCCAAAATTAATCAAAGAAAATTATGGTGTTTTTCTGTTTAAGATGGATCACTTTCAATTTTAACGAAATGCAGTGTCCAATTTTAATGTCCCAGCACAGGATATGCATCTTAATTTGCACTAAGCATCTTAATTTGCACTCCCTCGAGAGACGTAGAGCGAGGGGCGACCTGATAGAGGTGTATAAGTGGAAGGCAGGGCTAAACAAAGGGGACATTACAAAGGTACTCAAACTATCCAACCAGGAGCGAACTCGTAACAATGGCTTTAAATTGGACAAATTTAGATTTAGGCGTGAAATAGGTAAACACTGGTTTGGAAACAGAGTAGTGGATGAATGGAACAAGTTACCAAATATCATCATTAACTCGAATACGCTGAATAGCTTCAAACATAGGTTGGATGCTTATATGAGCAATAGGGGTTGGGTGTAAACGGGACTGCCCAGTATGGGCCAATAGGCCCGCTACAGTTTCCTCCATTCTTATGTTCTTATGAGTCAATCAGTCAAGGGCTCAAGGCTGCAGTGGGTGACACAAGCGCACTCTAATTCGTGAACTCGCTTATTTATAAAAAGCAGGCGTAAAATAAGAATGGTGAGAGTATTTAATCCACAGTCTTTTCGGTTCACCAACACTGGCGGACTTATAGGTTACCCCAACCAAAGTTAAAGTACATTGTCAAACCTGTTAATTGCATTTTAATTCAAGCGCAAATTTCACTTCATGCAACAAAACTGTGGAGTTTTTTCTGTTTTATAAGTGTGCATATAACGATTGCAGGATTTTCACAGATTTTATACAAAAGTAATACCAACCTTTTTGGTTTTCTTCAGAAAATAAAAGAAAAAACCGCCTCCACCAACAAAAGAAAGAGGCTCTGATCAAGGAAAATTAGGAAATGATGATACACTGGCATTCAGATCTCAGCAAAAAATAATTTAAAGACGATCTTAGCATCTTCCGGAAGCGCATATAATATCGAAGTACATCAACCCTGTTCATAAATTTGCTCATAAATATGCTAGTTTTTTCATCAAAATGCCTTCCCGTTCGCGTGGCCGATTTGTCAAACTAATGTGAAGAACCAACTGCATGGAGTACAAATCGCAAAATATATGAAATTATTTGATCGACTCCGTCAGTTTTGGTGTGCATTTCGCATACCAAAACTGACGGAGTCGATCAAATAATTTCATATATTTTGTTCTTTTTAGACTTGGTGTATATATTGAGCAGGGCTTTAAAGTGATTTGTGTGACAATTTCTATTGTAAAAAAAATTACAGCCTCAGAATTCAGTATTTTCTGTAAATTAAATATTTATAGTAAAAAGCTGACAGAAATGAACTTTTTGGCAGGTAAATTTATATGTTGTAACTGCACAAGTACAGCTTTCTTTACGGCATGGTATGCATACAGCATCAATTTTTTCAATATAAACTGACTGCTCATGTAAAAAAATAACATACGTCGAGCCAGTTTACATAATATGATACATATGAGCCAAATGTACCCCAAATGGGCGAAAAGGCTATATATTTCAACATGTTTGCAAAATATCTAGCTCGGTAACCTACGCATTTTTTTCCGTCATTGATTTCAAATATATATATACCGGTAGATTAGATAGTCAAATATCTAAGTCTGTGTCTGTTTAAGGATAATGAGTGACATTTTACAAGAACAAAATAAAATTAATACCAATAAATTATTTTCATCGACAGCCAATTTTTGGTGAAATACTATTTATTCATTTATCTTTTTAATTGTGTCATATGCATGTTTTTCTATCTATGGGTGTTGAACAATGGGGATCTTGGTCTACTTGTTTGTGAAAAAGGTTGGACAACGTAACACTGATGCTCACTAGTCTTGTAGTTTCATGTAATAAATGAAGTGTACAGCACTTATAAAGGCTCGCATAAAAATAGTGCAGGAAGAAAGATAATTAATATTATACTGTACATACATTTTTACAACCATTATTATAACTGGATATTTTTTTTGGGTGTTAAGCGTTTAAATCTTCGATATTTACCATGTTTAGGTGTTTGTGATTTCATTGAAACTCGGCCATAAACCTTTGCTGTCGTGTACTGTAGAACACCAATAATAGGACTCTAAGGTGGCGACACACTGGGCACTTTCCTCCAAACATGTTGCCCGTTTTGCTGGCCAGACCGTGTTAGTCAAACATGTTTGGAGGAAAGTGCCCAGTGTGCCGCAGCCTAACATGAAAAACGACGAAAACATCAAGGATGTCTTATCATACATCCGTCATTTTTTTCACAGCAAGTATAGTGACTCAGTGACCTTTTTAAAACTGACATATTAAATTAGGCTGAAGGGTCATTTTATATTCCAAGACATCAATTTCCAGCCCACAGATTTGGAAATTACAAAAACTACTGTAAATTGAGTCTTAAGATACAGTGCATAAAGCATCATAAAACAAGGTAATTTTTATGTGCTAATGAGCCTTATATAATTATCATACCATTTTGTTGTGCTAACAAAAGAGAATAAAACCAAAATAACAAGATATAGATTTAGATTTCATTAGACTACTCTACTGTCGAAATATTATTATGGAACTCATAAGGAAATGCAGTACTAAAGGTTTATATAATTAGTGAGTAAACAGTAAATGTGAATATCTAACAAGAAAATAATAAAATTGTTAGAAGCAGATTTCTTTGTTTTAATCACCGCAGCAAGTTCATTGTTTACCTCCCCCTTGAATCTTCCGCCCAGCAGGTTTAATGTTACCTTCTTCCTCCCTCATATTTCCAGTGTTTAACGCATGAGCAATTTCTCTGTTGCATCCCCCCCACAACCCCACAAAACATGTATAATATTTACCTCCCTGTATTTTCAGTATCTCCCCAGCAATTTTATTGTTGGTGTCTAACCGCCCTCCCCTCCCTGTGTTTATCCGTGTCCCGACCAGCAATTTTAATGTTTGCACCAACACCCTCACATTTTCAGTGCCTTCCTACATTTTAGTGGCCCCCTACGCTTACGGTGCGCCCTCTATATATCCAATCCCCTTTCCCTGCATTTATATTGCTCCCCACTCTTTAAATTCAATTTTCGCGTCGTCTCCCTTGCACTTTAATCATTCCCTCAAGAAATTTAAATGATTGCAACACTCCCCCACTGCATTCTTAGTCTTCTCCCCGGTACTATAAATGGTTGCATATCTCTCTACCTATATTTTTAGTCCCCCAACCTTACGCAAATTCAACCTCTGCATCATCCCCCTCTCTACATGTTATGACTTCCCCTAGATTTTCAGAGTGTAAGTGTACTTCCTCAACCCATAAACAAGAAGGAAGTACCTGAAAACATTCCCAGATGACTGATCAGTAACATGAAACATTATTTATATAACATTTCCACCCCCGATCTCCCGGTATTTTATAAATTTTCTGAATAGCATCTGCTGCTCTGGGATAGATGTCTGTTATCACATTATTCTTAACGCAATATAATCATTTCCATATATATTTATCATTCCATGTTCAACAAAACTTTGGTCGACTGAAGAACGCTTAAGTAATAATGAATTTATTGACATTTCTATTGAACAAAATATGCAAACTTTCTAATTCTGCCAGTTTTAGTGTCCATATTTTGAAAACGAGTAATTATCAATGTGTAAAAAATTATCATGGTGTCATGGCGACTGTGGTGTCACGTAATTCTATGAAAGGAATGAAGAGCTAATCACACTTAGCCTAACTTAACCAAACTTGCTTAAAGATCTTTGAATATCTTTTAAAACTGGGTAAGGTTAGTTTGATCTAGTTGTTTTTGTCGTTTTTGAAATCAAGACTATTTTTAGACGTATTTCTTTAATTGAATAAAGTATATATATATATATATATATATATATATATATATATATATATATATATATATATATATATATATATATATATATATATATATATATATATATATATATATATATATATATATATATATATATATATATATATATATATATATATATATATCAATGAATTAAATAACAGCCTCGTTTACCTCATATTTTCGAAGCCTGGCGGCAGACTGATTTTGCCTTGCCTTCGTTTGCTGGAGCATTGAAGAGACGGGGAAGCAGCGTCCCTCCTGGAATAGTGTTACTGAGTCATGGGTGGAGAGGGACGAGGGCGGCCGCTCATGTACTGTAGTGTTGCAGGTCAGTGACACTACCCACGAGGGGACAGTCACCGAGGGCCACCCTTGAGTCACTCCCTTACTTCAAGTATTAACTTCATTTGAAACCAAAGTTTAGTTTCAATAGTCATGTTTTGTGTTAAGCCATTACGATGGGATAGAACTTTCTTAAACATGCAAGATGAATTGAAATGAAGTCCTGAAGAAAACTTATTCCGAGGCATTTTTTGTATTCCATAACTTTTTCAGTTTCTTCAATATACTATGATCGGGAATGATAACGTCTTGGCTGCCGAAGAAATCATAACACTTGTTTTTCAACACTTTATATATCACAAACAACCTAAAAGCAAGTGGCATGAAGTATATACACAACCCACGACTATGAGTGGCTGGAGGTGTCAACGGCCGGAAGGGACACTGCAGACTCATGACCAGAACTTACACACTGTCCCAAGTCATGTTAACTTAATACTGAGGCGACCAAGGCAGCATCCTAGCAGTACCGCAGTAATGGTCACACGAAACAACCAATTACCTGCCCACACAACACGCACCCATCACTTGTACTGGCAAGTCTCTTTAAATAATGTAAGTGTTACGAATCTGAAAGACTCCTGTAAGTATTATTCATATAACGTTCAGTACATTTCACCTTGTAAACTTGGCACACATTTAACCAAGGAGATACATTCGAACCACAGTATGCTGCCACGGACACCACACACATTGATCGTCTTGGGTCGCCCTGCCATCAGCTTCAGCGGGATGAGGTCTACAGCTTGACTCATTAGTTTAGTGGATGGTCCCCAGAGGTAGCCACATAGCACAGCTCGCACATCTCGTGTTAATGCTTCCGTCGCCGCGCGTGATCAATAGTAGCATGAACGTATACAGTCTAGCAAGACATGCACGGACACAACACATATCCACGTTGAATCTTTTTTTCTCATTCAAATTCTACATGTTTCCTGGGCAGGCAATATTGGCTGCAGTTTTGCTTTGGTTTTATCCTGCTGTCACCCATTCAAAACGTGCGAAACGTTTTCGCAATATTCATCACAAAACATGTCAAAGTTCTTAAACAAAATTATAATTGCTTTCAGAACATTTAATTTTCTAAGATGAGATCTGACGCCATATAATTTCAACTTTCAATTACTTCTGACTTTGATTACAGTCGTATATGACACGCTGGTGGCAGTGAGGATCAAGTGTGAAAAACTAGGAGAAACTGCAGTTGGATGAGTAAGGTGAGGATAGTAGAAGGCGACACTCCACACTGGGGTCAGGGTGGCGCCGGTCACTCCCCAATACAGACACTGCTCCAGTTCTTCCAGCTGGTCGGTCAGGTGTCATGCCAGACAAAGAACTGCTCTGCCGTCTTATTCTCCTGGTGGACAGCTCATGACTGACCATAAGGAAGAAGACCAACCCCCACCGATGCCAGACATTGTATTCGCATAATTTTATTTGTAATATTTCCTGCATGGCAGACCGTCTCTTCTTTTGACTGGATTCTGTCGGACTTAGATTAATACAATATAACAAGCATATAAATATTGAAGAAGAAATAATTCAAATGCAATATCAAGAAATTACACCAAATAATATCAAGACAGGGTCTGAGCGTCCCGCGGTCGCCTAGCAACGGAGACGCCATGAATCAATGAACCACGTGACGTTGGGCGCGCGTTAACTCTGACTTGAAGAATGACTTCCACCAACTTTGTGTACACGTGATAGGTCACATCTTGGACGACAACCTCTGTTATAGAGTATTTCACTACGTTGATAATGTAATGAACGAAATATACCTTATGCAGTCGTCTGCACGGCCCAGCAGTGCAACGGCCACCAGGCGTCAACTGCTGTAGCCGGGGTAAATAATTTCACCCACGATTGACACGTAATTGGCCATTATCTAAACAACGTCAGTTTGTTCACATTCGTATTTCACGAAACGTTTGAGCTTCAGTATTTTCTGATCAGTGTGAGGTAGCTATAGATGAAAATCTAAGCAGGAAACTTATATTTATTAGCTTATTTGTGCCACATTTTGTTCGTAGTAAATAAAACCTTTAGTGTGTTGTTGTCACTTATAATTATTATTAACTGAAGAATAATTCACCCTTGTTCGAATAACTCTTGAATATTTAAAAATGGTTAAGCTCTGCTGTAACACTTGAAGCTACTTTCACGAAGCTTTTACCTTTTTACTTTTGCATTTAATATCCACTTCGCCGCTTGGGCGGTCGGTCACGTCGCTGTTACGCCCAGTTAGCAAGTACTGGGCATGCACCGGCTCCTGAATTATCTGAACCTGCTCCAGTGTTGGTCAAGTCTGAAGAGCTCACACTCGGGGCCGTCACAACACTCTCTGGCAGGTTGTTCCAAGTGTTCACGAATCACGATTCTCACTTCGAAAAAGTTTGCCCTCACAGTTTTCTGGACTTGTGGCTGTGACCCTCGAGAATGTCTAGTCTCATACCTGATTGTAGCATGTTATGTAGATTTTAATAATATATATTTTTCGGCTGTGTTTAGCTGGTTCACGTATACCTCTCCGGAGTTTATTACTCACTAGAGAATTGACTTTCCCCGCCTGCTCGTGCGGCGATGTCGAGCAAACGACCATAACCCCACTAAATGCTATAACGACCAGTTCTTGCCATCTTTGGGTTTCTTTAGGGAGCTGCTTGCATTCCACGAACTAAGGTTGTATAGGTTATGATGAAAAATAAAAATTACATCTGATTATTAATTCTACAAATATACACAAGCTCACGTACTCATACACCTACCTACACGTTTGTGAAGATAAGTAGGTAATAAATATATATACAGTATGCATGGTTAACTGAGGTACCCAGCGTTGCCCGGGTTTGTATGTATTACGGGGGCAACCACCAAATACTACGTTCGTGACATTTCTGGGGGCATGTATACACCCATGCCAAATTTTAGCAGGACAAACCCCCTAGAATATACTGTACATTCAGTTACATAACCATACCAAATTTTAGCTCATGTGAAATAGATTGTGGGACAGTAAAAAAAGCTATTAAAGAGGGGCAGGTCATAGCTTATGTCCGTTCTTGACCAAAACCAATTACAGGTTCTCAAAAATAAACAACTAAATCTATCTGGTACATTTATTAAAAGCACAAAAACTGCTCCTAATTAAAGCATTCCTTTAAGCCAGTCTGAGTACAACATAATGAATAAAATTTACTGAAAAAAGTAAAAACCAAACACACCAAAATAGGCGTAAAGAAAAAAACTGATCTGAGTCTGTTTTGGTGTTTATTATACTTTAAATGCATTCGACCCCGAGTAACACAAAGGAAGTTGTGAATACAGAATTTGGTACCTACAGAACCGAGGCTAAGAGTACACTCGTCACCAAATACGGGTTTGATCAAGATAGTTTATTTATTTATTTATTACTTTGTTTTTGTTTTTTGTTTTTTGGGGGGGGGGGGCATTTTTGTTTTGGCGTCCACTGTTAGCTAATATGTACTTGAAGATAGTACAGGGCTTTTATTGATACAAAATGCATTCATACCAATAGCCTCAGTCTTAAGATCTAGATTCTGCACCAGTAGCCGTGGCCAAAACGGAAAGATCTGTTCTTTACAATAAAAAAACTTAATAAGTCTCAACATTGTATATAAATAAGTAATTCTTACAGCTCATGTTTTTTTTATTACATACAGCATAAAGAAAAACCAAATTTCATTGTATGGACAATATTAATGGTGACCTTAGGTAAAATATAATTAGTGTACAGTAGTAAATTCAGGTTAATGTTTCTCATGAACCACCATACTGTGATACAAAAATAACTCTGATAATTTGGCCAAGAGAATGTGAAGTCTTAAAAGTGGTCTACACCATAACACGAAGCACACTTAGGTGATGTCAATAACAGCCCATGGAACAGTGAATTGTGGCAAGAAAGACAACTTGCTTCTTACAAACACTGACAACAACTGGAGAATACAAATACAGTACATCAGATATAAATATACACACACATATTATCTACATTTTTTTTCACATTTCAGTGGTCTATTATTTAAGTGTACAGTATTACTAAAGGCATTGCAAATCAATTTTGTGCACATATGTCAAACAATCATCACATCCAATCAACAGTTACATCAATGAGTGTTTATTGGTCACAGCGATGATTGCGGAGATCTATGCACGAGTGAAACAAGAAATACAGTACAGTACAGCACAAGCGAAAACATTCGCCCTAGTAACCTCGTTTATTCATAAAAGACAAAGTACTAACATTATATATTTTATTTTTTACAAATTGATCCAAAAGTTAATAATTAACTTTAATAAAATATAATCTGTGCCTTTAAAGGTGTGTAGGTAATGTCTGAAAATAAGAATATGGTAATATCATATAACGTAAGTGAGTGAGTGTGTTTCAAGTGCTGCTCAGTACTGTACTATAATTATCAAGTCTTTAGTTTACATCGTTGTTGGACGTACAGTATTAGAATAAAATAATTAACATTGCAATTAATTGAAGTGAACTGTACTAATACATTACTGAGTATAATTATGTGCTTAAATTCGGCTCATCGTGATCTAATTTCCTAGTTCAGATGGTTCAAAGGCAGGTGCGGATCCAGGCATATCAAAAGGGAGGTCCAAGAAGTTGTGGGCGGGGGGGAACATGGCGGGCACAGCGAGCCCACCCAGTTGAGGGGATTTTATATTATTTTATTTATTTATTTCATTTTATTATTTATTTATTTATATATGTTTTTTTAGGGGGGGGGGGTGTGTAAGCCACCCCTGAAAACTTGTTGAAATCTGACCAATATCATGGGCATTTTGAAGCCATGTGCACTTGATATTAGGAGATATTCTTAAGTCAATAGTAAATACTTTTTACTATACAAAAATGCCTGAGTACATTAAAGAAAAAGTATTTTAATTTTCTGGTGAAAGGGGAGGGGGGGGGTGTCCGGGTCCTCAGGACATACCCCCTGGATCCGCCCTTGAAAGGCAGAATAATTTTAACTGCCACTGTGCACCTCCACATAATTACCTAACAAGGACCCAACATAGAATTTTACATACTGTAATTAAGATGAAATACAGTAACTGTACAGTTAACTGAAGTTGCTTCCAATGTGAATATAATGGTATAAAAACCATCATAAAATCAAGAACAGGAAGGAAACATTGAGCAAATAATAAGAGTACGTTAAGTTACTTAAATAAACAGTAGTACATGTATGTGAGTCAGCAGTGCATGGCTTAGGAAAAAAGTTTGAAGTCGAAGCTATGTGTATTTTATTCCATTGTTAATTTCAGGAACTGATACCGTATCTATCTACTGGCCATATTAATACCTGTAGTAGGGAAATGCATCATATTCCAGTTTAATCATACTGTTGCCCTAATGGAAACTGCATGTGAAGATCTGGGTATTTATGTTGATCATGAACTGTAGCTCTCACTCTAATGTAAGAATAAAAAGGAAAACACTCACAAACTCATATGACTTAAAACACATTATGCTACTACACTTGGAGTACAGTGCAGTACTATCATTCTCCATGGTTTAGAGATATGTAATGACTATTAATTGAATGAGTACGTCCAATATAGGGGCTACCAGTGCTGAAACTCAAATTACAAACTTATCAAGTGCAACTAGAAAGTTTGCAGCTGCCCACTTTACACTACAGAAGGACAAAATATGACTTCTTGACTTTACTGTAATGTATATATATCTCAATGGGCACTACTCATGTAGTCACTTTCTATATCTAAAAATTAAATGGTGAATGCCCCACTAATAGCCACAGTATTAAGCTAGATATGCTTGGTATGGGCACTTTTTTCAGATACAACTCATGTAATACCAGCAATTATTGTGAAAGCACCAAGTGTGAAAATTTTCAGTCCAGGCTAGAGCAGCATTAACACAATTTCATGTACAATACTGTATTGTACTGCATTCCAAAGAGCATATGCTTGCCCAGCAGCTATCAGCAGTGCAAACCTGAGAAGTTGGTGACAGTCTGACCAGCTCACAGAAGGTGAAGAGGGCAAGTCAGCAACATATTTGAAGCTGGCCTTTAATTTGTAACAGCCGATACATCATGTAACTGATTATTTACAAATTCACTAAATAAATTTGACATTTAAAACAAACATATTACATCAATACAATATTGTGGTCCTGAATATATAAGAATATATTAATGCGAACATTAAAGTTGTTCTTGTACAGTACAGGGTACAGTACTGTATTTTAAAATTTTCATTGGTGTTGCATCACTAACATCTCAAGAACAAATTCAGAGCATAGCTTCAAGATTCATTTAGCAAATAAATATTTAATGTACAGTAATG